TAATATTAATAAAAAAAAAGTTCTGAGCTACCCTTATTTTGCTTCAAAGTTTTTATTTAGAAATTTAATTTTTTTTCCTGAAATTTCCCTCTTAAAATGAAGATGCGTGTTATACGCCTGTGCGTGTTATACGCCGATAAATACGGTAATCAAGTTTCCTTCAAGGAAATGTGTATTGACTTAGTGTAGATAGCAGAGATTGGTTACCTGGACAATCCTCTCTCAGAGGCAGGATTGGAAAGATGTCCTTGAGGTTATCTGAAATTGGGTTGTCACATTTGTTTTTTTTAAATTGACAGTATTCACTGGACCAGGGTAGATTAGGGGCTCCTCTGAATGCAATCCACATTTTGGAAAACCAGGAAAATGTGCAGAAAGGGCCTCATTTTATCCAATGTTGACTGTGGATTGACTGAATATTAAATAAAATTCACTCACAGTCTCTGCTGGATGGGAGCCATTCAGTCTTTTGTAAATCAATCAGCTGCTTTTTGCAGGGTAGCATCTGGCTTAAGGATAATTACTTTTTTTATCCCTATCATTCTCTATTTGCTCCACTATTTGATATTTGTAGGCTGTACGTAATATTTGTGATTTATATGCATCCCTCCCTTAGTCGCAAGAACCCTAAGCACTTGCTTCTCACCCTTCTCTGCATGTGTCGACCATTACCCTCCTTCTTCCTCGATATAAGGATAAAGTTGTCCATGACTTCTCTGCTAGCTGCTTTTATGGCACACTTTGTATAAGAGATGTGTGTGTTTTAACAGTTTGTCATTTGATTGGTTTTCATTAAGCTGCATAAAGATCTCTTAAGGAGTCCAGCCTGTTTTTAACTGGGGACAACAACACAAAAATAGAGAAAACAGTTTGGATTGTATAGTTATGATTTACAACTTTGGCCAAGGAAGATGTCCATTTTAGTTGTTTCTAATTCTTTATAATGCCTTCTATATCATGATTTTCTTGTCCTATGTTATTTCCACATATCCTCATTAAGTCAAAGCCAAGTAGTAAATGGCAACTCTTTGGTCTCTTTATAGTATCAAAACAATGTACTAATGGGATCAAGGAAGGCAATATGAATATACACAAATATAAAATAATATTTCTTCTTATATCAAGATGTAGCATGATTAGGTTTATTAAGCTCCCTTTAACTCACTCCATGTTTTGGCCCCTCTGACTCATTTATAAAAACACTTATAATCAATAAATACTGTCAGATTATTTTCCATCAACCAAATTTCTTGAAGAAAAATCATATCATAATCTATAGAAAATTAAAGCATTTTCCATCTATGCATTTACCCATCCAACCAGCAATGTACAAAGATACAGATTTAATTGTAGAATGTAGAATGTTTTCAAGTTTGTTTTTTTGTTGATTAACTTCATTTTGGATTTGGATCTGATGATTATTTTGTCTACTTCTTCACAAAGTTGTTGTGTTGGAATATGATATATTTGTTGGCCTCTCATCCTTTCTTCCTTTGACGTTTTTGAACCATCTTCTAGTCTTGTTCCATTAAATTTAAAATTCTTTTAGTATTTTCATAAGTACAATTATTTTTAACCCTAGGAATATTTGATGTAAACCTATAGGTTGCACCCTATGCTTCCTTGAAGGATCTTTTAATTCTGGCTGCTTTGTTCTGTTCTAGTGTTGTAAACTCCTGCACTATTTGTCTTCATTATCTTATTCATCTCAGATAGCAGTGGATTTTATGATGTTCTGCAAATCATTGGCTGTTCCAGAGTTTGTCCATTTGGATAATTCCCTTCATGATAATTAACAACTGTATATTTCTTTGTCAGACCTCTTTCTTCAGATAGCACACATGTCCTTGGGAGGTTTACTTCTGTATTAATGAGGCTTTTTCCTGTTTTTTCACTTTCTAGCAGGATTGTTATATTCAATAATCTTCATTTATGTTATATGCAGAACCTCCGTTTTTTGTATTTCCGGTGTTACGTTGTTTTATAAACTTCACATGGTGTCTTGTTTTCAGTTTCTTACCTCTACCCCATAGGATTTATTTAACAAACTCTTTTTCTTCATTACCAAATTAGGCATTGCTATAGATTCAAATGTCATGACTGCTCTGGCATTTATCTATCAGTAAAATAGATACTCAACTTTTATCTTT